AGTATTCGGTAACTATGAAAGGTTTCTTCCTGCCCCACTTTCTCTTGGTTATAACCTGACATCAGATTAAATGTCATTTCCCTTCCTCCTTTCCCTGCCCTTCAAATACATACCCTGTTTGGAATTTGGTTGCCTTATGAAAACAGTTCTAAAACTTGGAAGATGACAAAGCCAGTGGACATTAATGACAGGAGACAGTATGTAAATGTAATTGAAACTAAATGAAAAAAGTAAACAGAAGTTCAACTGTTTAAACCGACTACCTTCCTGCAGAATCCTACTGTCACAGGTTCACCAGGCACTTCTCGACTGAGTGAGGAGTCATGGGTACTCAGAGATGTGGGTGTAACCAAAGGGGGTGAACTCTTGCTAACAATTCGACTTAGAGGTTGGACTGCCCACCCTCAGCCAAACCGGATGAAAGCTTTGGGAAGCTACTGGCCACATCCGTGCATCTTCCAACACACACCTGGGATGTTTTAGCAGCTGGAATCCAATGTCCGAGCTGATTCATGAGCAAATCAAATAAAAATAAGAAGAGCAAACTATTTGGGGGAGCTTGGAGTGTGCTAGGCACTACAATAACCCCTCTTTGCACAAAAGGCTCTCTAATCCTTACCAGAAAGAAAAAAGCAAATGCCCCCGTTTTGCAGATGAGGAACTTGAGGGTCAGAGAAGTACCTTGGCCCTGAGTTTCTTCTGCTCTTAGCACTTCCCTCTCAGTCAGTCACAACTGGACTGCAATTTCCCGAGAGCGAGAGCCGAACATAAGCTGTAACTAACTTGATCTAAAACACCGCTCTTCAGGGACACTCGGGCGTTCCGCGTACAGAGGGAGAATCTTCCTAAGGCACCTGGAATTACAGAAGGTAGAAACAACAGGTTCGAGGGAGGATCTCTGCTCCACATTCGGACTCCAAAGCTGAAGGGAAGTAAACTCTCCTGCCACCCTATTGAGAATCCTCCGTTCTATGCAAAAGAGGGTGTTTTTTTTAAAGAATTATTTTATTGATCTATCTTCCTCCCTCCCTCCCTCCCTCCCTTCCTTCCTTCCTTCCTTTCTCTTTCTTTCTTTCTTTCTTTCAATTTGACCAGAGAGGGACAGAGAAAGAG